TAGATTTGTTCTTTCTTTTCTATTTTTTTTTCTTTCCATTGTGTACTTTCTTTTGGACTGAGTATTTTTTATGAATCTGTTTTTTTTCTCCTCTAGTTGAATATTAAACATACCTGTCTGTTTGCTTTGAGTTATTTCTCTAAAGCATTGTTTTTCCAAACTGCATTTCTTGCATCCATATCACCTGGGAATTGTTAGAAAAGAAAATTCTTGAGCCCTATTCAAGATCTGCTGAATCTAAAGCTCTAAGGATGGGGCTCAGCTATCAGTGTTCTATAAAGTTGCTCAGATGATTTTGATAAAGCTGAAATTTGAGAAACATTGTTTTAGGTTTACAGTATGCATCATCTCATCACAGTAAATTTCATATAATGTTACACCACTGCATGTACTTCCAGTATCCCTGCATCTTTTTGGCTTTTGTTCTTATTCATGTTACTTCCAAATTAGCTTTAAACTTCAAAATGTATTGCTAATGCTTTTGTTTTAAACAGCAATCGTACTTTAAAGAGATAAAAATTAGACAAAATATACATTCTATTTATTCACTGATTCACCACTCACCATTTTGGTCCTCTTATTTGGGGGTTGGATGCAGGAGATTCAAATTTCCTTTTGATTATATTCTCCATTCTGAATAATTCCCTTCAATATATTTTATAGTGCTGGTTGACTGGCAATAAATTATCTCCCCTCTTGTTTGAAAGTTTGTATTCCACCTTCACTTTTGAAAGTTATTTTTGTTCAGTGTCGAATTTGCTTGGTATAGAGCTGTCTGGCAGTAGTAGTGTGGTGCTGGGTGGCTGATGCCACAGTGGTCATCACTGTTGTACCTCAGACGTCTCCCTGTGGCTCATGTTTGGGCACCATGGGCCCACAGTGTGATCAGGTGAATAGTGTGATGGCAAGGCTTAGCCAAAGAATACCTCCAAGTTTCATTTGTGAGGTTGGAAGCTCTACCTGAAGTATCTAAAAAAAGTATGAAATTATTTCTGTTTTTCAAGAATCCTGAAAAAAAAATACTGATTACATGGTGCACATGCACCAGAATTGAGCAGAAATGTTCAGAGACATGCACCCGTGGGCACCTTCCCACCCATCATGAGCATCCAAGAAGACCTCAACCTTCACCTAAAGAAATGAACTCATGCTGCTGCCTGCATGATGTTATGAAAGGGACTCCGCAGGAACCTCACTGTGGTTTCAGCAAGACGATGGTGGAAATTGTCAACAAACACAATATTCAGTTAGGAGTTTTGGTATCTTCTCAGATGAAGTTGGTCATTAGGGCCTCCACACCTATTTCAATTGACCCCTCACTACGCAGCTCTGTTTTGGCGAGCTCATAGGAGGACTTAACATAGTTAAGAAGCTGGAAGCAGCTGAAGAACTAGATACAATTTGCCCCAAAGCTCCAAAGTAGAGGCAAAGCTCACAGTCCTGACAAATAAAGCTTCTGTGGTGCTCCATGCAAGGAAACACACGGGAGGCTAAATGTGGATTCAGCAAACAAATTCAATAGGACTGATGTTGAAAACATGTCATTTGATATACTGGACGATGAAGAAGTTCCCAAGGATTGAAAACATACTCCAGTTGCCCAACCTACCCTCAGCTGTATGCGAAAGGGGAGCTTGGAGGGCTGAACATGGTTAAAGACCTGAAAGATAATGGTGAACTGATACTGCCACTGAAAGGACACAATAAATGTAAAATGTGGTACCCAACTAGTGCAGGGAATAGTTACAGTGGAATAGCATATGAGTCAATCTTCAGACATGGATGAGGAGGAGAAAAGCCTTCTTCCCCAGACTGGCTCTGTGTACCCCAGAAGGTTGTGCTAAATAAATGTATGCTATGTTTTGTTCCACAAAAAAAACATCTTCAAATTCAATTTAAAAAAAAAGAATTCGCTTGGTATCCAATAGGTGACATTTTCTTTTGTCTTTCAGCACTTCAAAGATAGCACTTCATTGCCTTCTAACTTGCATAGTTTGTGAAAAGTTGTTCATCTTTCATCTTTTTGCTAATTATTTATAATGTGTCTCCCCCCCCCCCCCCCGCCGCCAGCTGCTTTTATAATTTTCTCTTTGTCACTGGCTTTCATAGTTTTACGATAAGTTGCCTTATGTGGTTTTCTATTTGTGTATTCTCCTTGGGGGTTCATTAAATTCTTATTTTTTCCTTTTTCCCTTCTGTCATCTGTCATTGTTGGGACTATAGTTACTTATAGTTTAGACTACTAGATATTGTTCCATAGGTCACTGAAGCTTTGTGGGGTTTTTTTTTTTTTTTTTTTTTTTTTTTTTTGTCTGTTGTCGTCATTTTTAAGTATTTCTTTTCTGTATGTTTCCCTGTTGATAGTTTCTAGTGCCGTCTTCATGCTTACATATGTTTTTTTCTTCAATGTCTAGTCTTCTGTTAATCCACGGTATATGTATCATTTTAAATATTGCCTTTAATCATTGCAATTTCCATGTAGGCCTTTAAAAACTTTTTATTTCTCTTCTCATTATGTTGATTTTTTGTCTTTAAACATATGAAGCATGATTCCCATCATTGTTTCAGGGGCCACGTCTGATAACTCCATCATTTCTATCATTCTGGGCCTTTTTCTATTGATCTACCTTTCTCCTTGTATTAGTTTGCTAGGGCTTCCATAACAATATCCTGAAGACTAAATGGATTAAATAGTAGAAATTTATCTTTTCACAGTTCTGGGGGCTGGGAGTCTAAGATCAAAATGCCAGCAGGGTTGATTTCCTATGAGACTTCCCTTCTTCTTCCTCCCTCCTTGGCTTACAGATAACTATCCTCTTATTGCCTCTTTACATAGACTTTTTTCCTGTGCATGTCTCTTTGTATATCCATATTTTCTCTTCTTATAAAGATACTAGTCAAGTTGGGTAGGGTCTATTCTAATAACCTTGTTTTAACTTAATCACGTGTATAAAAGTCCTATCTCCAAATATAGCTACATTCTGAGGTACTATAAGTTAGAGATTCAACATATGAATTGGGGTGGGACACAATTCAGCCCCTAACACTCCTAATTATAGTTGATAATTTCTTGCTTTATACATTCCTTATAATTTTTGATGGAATGCTGCACACTATGAAGTTTAGATGTCAAATGCCAAATTTTGCTTTATCCTTTCATATATTGTTTGATTTGTGTTTGGCAGAATGTTTTGTTACTTGGGTTAAGTCTTTCAAGGATTGCTGTTGAGCTTTGTTAGTATAGGTCCAGAGCAGCCTGCAGTCTAAGGCTGCTTTTATCAATGTCCACTCGACCTTTTTAACAAATAAAGTGGTACCTTTCTAAAGCACTCACTACCCATTGCCCATGTATTATATATAAATCTTTCTATTTTGGCTGTGGGAATATGAATTATTCTCCAGCTTATGTAAACTCTGGATTGTGCTTGACATACTGCTCCCTGATAGTTCTTTACTGAGATTCATGTGATTTTTAAAAAATATATATTTTATTGATTTTTGATGGAGAGGAAGGGAGAGAGATAGAGAGTTAGGAACATTGATGAGAGAGAAACATCAATCAGCTGCCTCCTGCACACCTCCTACTGGGGATGTGCCCGCAACCAAGTTACATGCCCTTGACCAGAATCGAACCTGGGACCTTTCAGTCTGCAGGCCGACGCTCTATCCACTGAGCCAAACCGGTTTTGGCTCATGTAATTTTTTTTTCCCCTCAGACAAGAGCAAATCAGTATTGAACCCAACATTTAAAGATACTCCTCTATAGATCTCCAGAGCTTCTTTCTGTAGATATCTCGTCCCTTCCATATTCTGCTCTAAATTCTAGCTACTTTGGCCTGCACAAATGTTGTTTGTCTCCTGAACTCAGTGAGGCCATTAATCAGTGTTGCAGCCAATAGCTTGCCTCCAGGCAATAAGCAGAGACCCTTTCTGGATCCCATTGTTTCCTCTTTCTTGGGGTTCACTGTTCTCTTCTGCCTATTGTCCAGTTTCTGCAAATACTTGTTTCATATATCTTTTTTTTTCTAGGTTTTTAATGCTGGAGGAGAAATCTAGCCCCCATTACTCAGTCATAACTGCAGGGAAAGTTTTATTTTCATAGTTCTTTGATTTATTTTTTCAAGATGAAAAGTTATAACAAAATCATTTTTCGGTATTTGATATAAACTTTTTGTACCATTTTAAATGAGTTCACTGTCTTTTTTCAGCACCAATTATTTTCAGACAGTGAGGATATACTGTATTTGTCTAGTTATATGAATTGTTAACCATGTCTTAGGAAGAATTCCTGCAAGCCAACAAATATGGAAGAAGATTATTGTGAAATGTTTGTCATTTTCTGGGATTTATTTAGACTATCTATTAGGGATGTGTATAATTTATCTACTAAAATTTTATGTTAGCAAATAAAACCTGCTTGGCATTTGTTATAATTATTGCAGTGCATAAATGAAAAAGAAAATGTATCCAGATTAATGAGGTTTTTTTTTATTTCAATGAGGATATAAATCAGTAACTTAAAATTATCCTTTCAAATCAGTTATGCTTTTTCTTTCTCTTCTCAAATTCATCACTGCCCATGCAAATTTATGGAACCTTTAGGAAAAATATATATAAAACAACTATAAGAGAACATTGACATGCTCTGGTGTGGATGAACATTTATCAACTGCTGCTGTTGGTGTAGTTTCTGTCATCAAGAGGCATGCAATGAAAAGGTTAAGGCAGACTGCTCACTCTCTGATAATAAGCAAATATGTGCTCAGATTTACATTCTTTGAATTATCCTGAATTCTAGAATGGACAGCATATAGTAAATAAAATATCTTCCAGGTGATCATCTACATCTGAAAATAACTAAAAAAAAAATTGTTTTTAGTAGGCCCAGCAGCAGGAAATTAACTTTGTTAATACCTTATATATGCTCATAAAGCATACTTCTTGTTACGTTCTGCCAAATTTTCCACCTGATTTTCCATTTTTCCCCTCTTCCTTCCCAGGAAAACAGTCGGCGTGTTTTGCTGTGGACCCCGATCAATTTCTAAGACTCTCCGTAAACTGAGTAACCAAAACAACTCTTATGGGACAAGATTTGAATACAATAAAGAATCTTTCAGCTGAAAACCTGGGACTTAAAGAAGGAATGAGTGCAATTGCTAACACTTTGAAATTCAAACAGCTATCCTCTGCCAAAGAGTAGCAAGGCTTTCTTATTTATGATTATTTAACATGGAAATGCAGAAAATGAGGCAAGATGACAGGTCACAGTACACCAAAGAGGCCCTGAAGAACATCTGATGCGATAATTCACTTTTCAAGGCTAGAATTAAAACTATTAGATGCCCACTGTTGATTTTTATGGCAGATTCAAGGACTCCCTAGTGAGGAGCTACGCTTTCTCACTGTGAGGCTGATAGGCCTGGTCCTCTTTAAATTGTTTTTGGTTGAACAAATGGAAGATTGAAGAAAATTAAAAAATTCATTCAAACTCAAATTACATTTTCCACCTAAGAATAACAGAGTGGCTTTGAATTAGAAAACCTCCAGGCAAATATATTAGATGTTTGAAGATATAGCATAAACTCTCTATTGATACGGGTACTTTGTGTCAATATCTAATTTTCCTCACTACTGAGCTAATACCTCTACTTGATGTCTTTAGACTTTATGCTGAATGAATCTTTTACAGATGTTGTATCTATTTTTATATTCCCCCTTCTGTCTAGGGAAATCTTCCCTCCCTTGGCATGCATTAGGCATAATTATTTAATCAGTCATATTTACCCTCAATTTATTTAATCAATTACTGCTGCATAGTAATGAGGAAATATTATTACTATAAATTATAAAGGGATATAGATCTAATAAGTTTTTTTTTTCACTTTTCAGCATTATGATCTGTTATTTTTCATTACTTTCTCCTCAAGCATAGTTTGTCTTAGTTTCCAATTTCTTTTTGAAAATACATTTTTATTGACTTTTAGAGAGAGATGCATAGAAAGATAGAAACATTGGTGAGAGAGGAACATCATCATCCATTGGCTGCCACCTGCATGGCCCTTACTGGGGATCAAGCCTGCAACCTGGGTATATTGCCCTGACCAGGAATCGAACTGGCAACCCTTTGGTTCTTGGGTTGATGCTCAACCGCTGAGCCACACCAGCCAGGCTTCAGCCTCTTAAGGTACTTTGTTTATTTGCACTTTGAAACCAAAGGGCATGATGTCTGTCAGTGGTCACTGAGATAGATACAAGATCTCTCTCTTGTCACACATTAGTTATGTTGAAGATATTTAAAGTATAGTCAAATCCCTAATAGGAAATCTGTAGTTTACTTCCTACACAAGATGAAATATTTCATTAGTTATTCAAATTCAAGTTCAAAATCCAACAATATTATTGCTGCACCACCTGCTTTCCTGGGTCTCCATAGGGAATTGTTGAGTTTAAAGTCATTGTTAGGTTTACTCTGTGTGATCCTATCAGTCAGGTTCCCTGGCCATTATATTCCCTCACAGGAAGACTCACTTCACTACCTTAAGAATGAAGGCATTTTTACAGTTTAGTGATTTTTGTTTTGTCAACCTTTATCAGTTGCTATCAAATATAGCACATTGCTGAAATCAGCAGCATAACTTCTCTTGCCTTTGTTAGATTTTTGCATGATGTAATGTAAGTTGATAGATGCTACTGTCATTTTTTTTTTTGCTCTGATTTAAAATAACAATCAAGCATGTTGTACCATTCAGCATTGGATTTCCATAAACATGTTACTTACAGATATTTCTTCCTCTCTTTGGAATTCTTTCTTCTCCCTTCAGTGGAAGGTGAGTCAGAAAAAGACATGGGAAATGTGCAATGTTCCTGCAGACTTAGCTCTGAAAACACAGTTAATAAATAGTACATCTTGGCAACACTTTCTAAGTTAAAAATTATTTTCATGAAAACACAGAACATAAAGAACCAGTAAAAATAAATTTAGTACAGGCTTGATGTGCAATACTGACTCTTTACTGATCGTAATTTATTGATATAATTAATACACCTAATTAGGTGATTATATTAATACACCTAATTTCACTAAAACATGTGGAAGATTTTTCAAAGAAGAAATAATCTTTTGGAGTGAGTAGGTCTGCTATTCTAGATGAGCCTTTTTGCCTATTTTAAATTCCAGGTGATGTTCAAATGTTGTGTTAACTTAGGTAATTTTTTGCTTCTGTAGACAGGAATGCCTGTAGAAGAGAGTTATTTATGTTTTGTTTTGAGGGAGCTTTTCTCTCTAGCTAATTATTCTCACACAGGTCTTAAAATAGTAATTTTGGTGGCAATAAATGTTAAAATTGAAATGGTATTCACAAAATCTCTATAAATTTATCTTCCCAACAAATAAAGGAGGCAGAGTTTCTTCACCAAATAATTCAAGTTTCAGAAACATCATCTATTTGAGTGCGAATCAGCATGAACAGTCTTAGGGATTTGTGTTCTGGGGCTTGCAGTGTCACTGGCTAATGGTGTGACTGTGGCAAATCGCTTCTCACTCTAGGACTTCTCATTTGGACTAGATCAGTAGTCAATCTTTTTTTTAGGTAATCTATCTTTTTGAGGCCCTTATTAAAAAGAAATATTCTGACAAACAGTACAAAATATACATACAATCTTGGGGCCCACAGTCTCCAAAAGCCAGGACCCCTGTCTAAAAACCTCTGAACAAAAGTATCATTTTAGGTATTTTAAAATTCTACCTTTCTTTTCTTTCCTTTTCTTTTCTTTCTTTTCTTTTCTTTTCTTTTTTTTTTTAAGTAACTATCGATTTTTATGGACTATACTAAGAAATTAACTCTGTGAGAATCCAATAGAATTTTTCAAAATATGTTTTTATTGATTTCAGAGAAGAAGGGAGAGAGAGAGAGATAGAAACATCAATGCTGAGAGAGAATCATCAATTGGCTGCCTCCTGCATACCCTCCTTCCCTACTGGGGATGGAGCTCCCAGCCCACCCTGACCATGGAATTGACCTGGGATTCCTGGTTCCTGGGTCTATGCTCCATCACTGAGCAACACTTTTGGGCTCTGCCATTGCTATTTCATCTTCTTGGGTCTCTTGCTTTATGCAAGGTAAGGCTTTGATTTTACATATGAATATTAATAATAATAATAAAATAAAATAAATTCATATGCACACATTAATGTGGACCTTAGTTTTTTAATTTTTAATTTTTTAAATTTCAGGTTAAACATAAATGATTGATAGTTTTTTCATGTCATGACTTTAAATGCTAATTGGGTGACTGTGATTATACAAGCTCTTAAAACAAAGAAATAAAAGCAGTGTAGACAAAGCATAGTCTGAATTGATTTACTCCATATACCCATGCTATTTATAACTCCCCCTCTACCCCCGGAAAAAAACAAAACAAAACAAAACAAAAAAACACACTGGTCTTTACTTAGAGCATTCAAAGCAAGTAATTGATTTAAATTATAAGGCATTGTTAAAGATGCTGGCTAGACACAACTGGGCCACCATCGTCATCAATAGATGATGCTGATGCTAAAGTATGTTCAGTATATTGAAAAGAAAAATAATAGGTAAGTTTTATTTTTGTTAAGGGTGGTTAACTCAGCTGAACAGTGATTTTTTCTAACAGACCAGTAAGACACATTTTCAATGGCTACACCTGGCAAAAGTTCCCTTTTCTTATGCTGTTTGGAACACTTGCATATCCAGTTAAATTATAGAAACATAAATGCTGAAGTTAGGGGGACTGTTATTTTGTAGTTGATGAAACTAAGGCCCAAAGGAAGATGGTAACTTGCTTCAAGCTGTCCACTGAGCTTGTCACAGGGCCACTTGGAGCTCAGCTTTCCTAGTCTCTGCCACTGAAAGGCTCTTTTCCCTGCCCCATGGAATGTACATCTGTTTAGACACCTGTAGTTCTGTTGGCTTGAATCTCCCTGTAAACTCTAGTGCTAGCTGGAAAATAAGGTAGTGAGTGTTAATTCCAGATTCACAGCAGAAAATCACACTCTTCTTCCCAATGCATCTTCTGGTTCTAAATTCATGAGTCATATATTCTGCCTACTACCAAAAAAATCTATTTTCCTATATTAGTTTTAAAACATGACAGTTGTGCTAAAAAGATTTTGTTCTTGGGGGCTCTGTTTTGGAAATTTGTAATAGTATATAGTTTCTAGGAAAAGTTAATATTGCCATTTTTAAATTGACGTTCATAGGCAAAAGTCATAACTTCACCAGCTTTCTAATCCCCCCAGGGAACTGTTGTTATTAAAACAGATGACTGTTGTTCTCTACTCACATGACCATACCATGCTTCTTATTCAGGAGAAAAGAACCATCTTTTTGTAAACCACTGAGACAGGAAATAAATGATGCCAAGCATAATGAGTTCTGCATTTACTTCAACCCCCGGACAGTGAGAATTCACTGACTCCTTCTGTCTCAATCTCCCCTCCATTACCCCAGCAGCTTTCTCCCATTCTGCAGTATTCTCAGAAGACAGAGTTGCAAGGCTAGCTAGATGAAGTTTTCCAAAGAAAAGACGCAGCAGGATTTTGATACTTAGCAAAGGGTCCATTAAGAGAACTAAAAAAAGGCCATGTGAATGAATTGAGATTAGCAGAGTTGCTTTATAAATAGAGACCAGTATTTTTTTTTAATGTGAACATACAGATTTTTATTGTTCCTTACACAGAAATTTAATTTTTGTTTATAGAATCTAAACATAGATTTCTACATACATTTCCCACTATAGCAAAATCACTCCTAATCTTAACGCAGAGAATGAAAATACAACTTAAGAACTGGTAAAGATAAGAGATGCCTCCTAGGGGCAAAACTGGGAGGGGAAAAAGGGGAGCCCGAGTCAGAAAAATTATTTTAATACGTCAGAACATGATAAGGCTTTTCTTTTCATAATTTAATTGGTGCTCAAATGTGTGACAAGACTGGCTATTCCTCTGGCTTGGGGAAATGTAAAACGATGTGGCATTCAGTTCGTTATTAGAGAGCCTCTCACGTTTTCTTGGCCACTAGAATTTAAAGCAGAAGCTTTCATCAGAATTGCAATCTTCTTTGAGAAGTTGAGTTTTGATGAGC